CAGTACGCCGCCTAACCCGGCCTGCTTCACCGCTGTTAGGTGCCTACCCTTGTAAAGTCCTTTCTTCCTTCTTCAGCTTAGAATAGTCAATCGACGGCACCTCTACGTTGAACAAGCCTAGGGGCCAGCCCCTTACAGTATCTTTGTCAAAGGAATGAGGTCAAATGCCTTACTTCTTGTATGCTCAGAAGGTAAATAATCAGAACAAGCCCATCATATGCTGCCCCCCAAACATTGCCTGTATTCGTTCACCAGAAATGTCCGCAGTTCCGTATTCATCCTCCACCGCAGGGAACACATTTCCTGCAAAGTACTGATGGAGCCCGTTGGAGAAGATCGACTGTTCTTGTGTGAAGGAACCCCTATTTACAGCTTCGAATTGGCTGATTGCAGATCTGTGAAGCTCTTTACTGCGCTCGCAAAATTCTTTCGCAGAAGCCGACAAATTGGCTGTAACCTCAAGCCCTTTGGCAAATTCCTGAAGTCGTTGTAAATCATCGGAGTCGCCTTGGCTGACCACATTACAATACAACACAAGGACAGGTACGAAAGGTACGTGTAGAACCCTCCTATGCAGTAAGATGAGCATGGCCCATGGATATTCGATGCAGAGTGCCACTCACCAGTGTATGTAAATATTCATGATGTGCCGGTCTCCGTTTAAGATCGACATGCATTCATGATGTGCGTGGATTGCAGCCCTGGCATACTCCAAACACTGCGGCGAAAGAGTTGGAGGCGTGGTTCGCATTACCTTCGCCCGAGATATCAGAGTTGCTGTAGTATAGTACAGAACCTTTTGAGACACTGCAAGAACGTTTTCCAGCCTCTCTAGCTTTCCTGTATTGTTTCCCTGTATAGTGGAATTAGCCAACATTCGTTGTGTTTGGGATGTGCGCCACAAAAATGCAATCTTCCCGTACCTTGTCATAAGGCTCAACTTCTTTAAGTTCTGCGAGAAGGCGATCTGCAGCTAACACTATGTCTTCGTCGCAGCAAGTCGCAGCTGCTCGACTGTACAGGGCTTCATAAAGCTTGTCGTGCATCGTCGCATTCCAGACCCAGAACGGGAGCATTGATTTCCATGGCCGTGACAATGAGAGACAGCTCATGTCTTTAGGTAGGGTGATGTCGCATACTCGTATAATTGACGCTCGTCCCAATCTCAATGCCAAACCCTTCTCCACGGCGTATACATACCAAAACAAGAGCATCTTGGCTTTCTTGATTTTTACGTCGTCACTTTCCATGAATGCGTCCTCGTGAAAACCTGCGGCGATGGCTAGTTGTGCCGCAAAAGAAATGAGGCGCCAGGCAAGCCAGGGCTTAGCAAGTTCTATGGCGTGAGAGGCCTATGATTGTCAGCAGTGCGGCGGAGATGATCAAAGGGGGGTATGCTTACACCTAGTACAAGCGCCTGTACGCTTTTGATGTGAGCAGGCAAGCAAACGGTCAAGCTCCCGACTGCTTGCATCATGGCATCTCTGCACAACCTGCCCCATACGAAGTACTGTTTGCGGAGATCTTCGTTGTCAGTGGGGCAGAAGTGCTCGGTGAACAAGTAATATAGTCCCGAGTTGGCTATAATGAAGTCTGTGTCGGCATACTCATCAATTGAGAAGTAGACATCACGACACAGTTCGATGTAGGCCGGTACGGGCATAAGAGACCGCAGTATAGGAAAGCTACTAGGCGGAGACTCTGTTGGTAGTTGTGATCTCGTCAGGAAAGCAATCGAGGATATTGCTAAAGAAGTACTGTACCTTTCAACATCTTGAGAATGTTGATCACAGCAGCTGTCGGTGGCAGCGGCAATTCGCGGTATGATTGAGTACCAGAACGAGGGTTGTTAGCGTGCACCTGGGGTTGCGATGGAATGACCCGGTCGCTGCATCGGGGTGCAGGGGGTGTCGACAAGCTACGATCTCCAGCAGACTCCGCATATCTTCTAGCCACCTCAACTTGACTCCGAAAAGACGAAGAACCTTCAACCGATGACTGTGTGTCTAGATCATCGAGTGCGGCGAGGCTAGACTCTCCAGGTATGGTCACTTGTGCGTCCGTTGAGCGACAGTCACACGGGCGGTGTCGAAGCAACGCCTCGATGTTTCCGAGTCTTTTCTCTATGAGATCGATCTTCTGTTCACTAGCAAGATGTCAATGAAACGCTCATGACAGCATGCTGTGTTGAGCCCCGTACTATTGTGTTGAAATGGGAACTCTCTGTCTCGGAACCTTCGGCCTCTGTCCAACACCTGAAAAGCTGCAATCCTGGGATGAGGACCTGCAGTTCGAGCATGGGAAGACTTTGTCGCAGCGGACCTGGAAATTGCTTCAGCGGACTATCGCACTACGGAGCGTGCAAGATCTCGCCGGAGCTTCGTATTACCTTGCGCAGCCGACACAGGTCGCACTATGGAGCTAACCGTTAATGACACGTTCTGATGCAGGTGGGGTCAGGTCTCAGAACTCCGACTTACAGCTGTTATGCGGGAAGAATCCATTGAAGATCCAATTGTTTCACAGACGCCGTTGTTGGTAACTAAAGATGAAAGATTTGGTTCCTCGGAGCCCTCGGTTGTCCTAGGCGGTGTTCGAAAAATCGGACGCCGGCAGGCATTTATATCGGCCGCCGAGGGGACCGAGCAGGGGCCACCGCAAAAGTCCGTCTCCGCCCCTGTCAACATGCAAAATACCGAAACATCACGGACTACTCCGTCAGCCGGGCTTCGGGGTGGACCCGGAGTTAAGCATGTTTCTCAGTCTAACAAGTTGTTTTGTGGTTGCAAACCTTGTACACTCGTTTCGTTGACGAACAGCGGATGAGATGCTTTGAAACAGCTTTGGCCACTTAGCGCGCGGGCGGATTGGATATAAGTCTGATGAGCGCAACGACATGGCCCGGGGCAATATGGTTGACCAGCGTGAGAAAGCCACCGCACCATCTACACATTGTTACTTTTTGCCCTTTATACAAATCCAGTTGAAGTAATTCATCCTTTTTTATACTTCGAATCTTTGCGCGCAAAATGGTCTCCTCCAACCTGTTTGACTTGCCTCAAACGGCTCTCCCAATTGGGAGCTTGGTCGTTGTCTCTGGCGCTAGCGGTTGCATGGGCATCCACATCTGCGATCAACTTCTCGGCCTAGGCTTTAGAGTCAGAGGCATTTCACGGAACGTGAAAAAGTCTGGATGGATCGAGACTATGTTCACGAAGACGTATGGCCCCGGCAAGTTCGAGCTCGTCGAAGTTCCTGACTTCAGTATCCCGGGGGCTTTCAACGCCGCTGTTAAAGGTAAGTGTATCCGTAGCCCTTCAAAACCAGACAATACGGCTAACGCCTCCACTTTCAGGTGCCCATGGGGTTATTCATACAGCAGCCGACACAAGCCTTGACTTGAACCCTGACAACGTCGTTTCCCCCATGGTATCCGCCGCCATCGGCATAGCTGAGGCGGCAGCTTCTACGCCTTCTTGCAGCAGGCTTGTTTACACTTCATCGTCGAGTGCAGTGGCCGATCCCGCTCCTGGCATCGTTCGAAAAATCACCAACGAGACATATAATGAAGAAACGGTTATCGCTGCCTACTCGCCCGATCTCCGTCAAGATCTTGTTGGGGGTCATACTGTCTATGCTGCTGGAAAGGTCAAGACAGAGCAAGCATTGTGGAAGTGGTATCACTCGAGAGCTCCTAACTTTGTTATGAACACAGGTATGAACTTCGACCATGGCATAGGCATCCAGTCTCCCATGCTAACTTGTTTCCAGTCATCCCAAGCCCTTGCTATGGCGAAGTTCTTTATCCTAAAGCCCAGGGTTTTACTGCTGCAATGGGGGTGTCAAAGATGCTCTGGGACGGAAATGGCTCAGAGGAGATTGTCAAGATGTTTGAGTCCCGTAAGTGATGTCACAGAATTCCCGATTTCCCCGATCTCCACTGACAGTGGATCAGAATGGTTCTGCGATGTGAAGGACGTGGCCAGCCTTCACGTCGGAGCCTTACTGCTACCACAAGTCAAATCTGAGAGGCTGTTTGCGTACGCTGGGAGATACACGGTCAACGATTTGTTGCGAATTTTCAAGACCGCCTATCCTTCGCGTGAGTTTCCGGAGGAGGTGGAGAACATACTTGAAGATTCGACAGAGGTTCCAAATGAGAGGTCAACTGAAGTGCTGAAGCTGTTGGGTCTCGAGGGTTGGAAAAGCCTGGAGGAGTGTCTTGAGCCTGTGACTAAGCAGTTTCTTGACGCATCTCGTTAACGGAATTGGCTTCTGAGTTTGCTCATTGCTTGATAAATATCAGGTTCCTCAAGTTTGGGATTTTTTCTGAGGCCGAAGCCAGACCTTCCACCAAGAGAAGAGGGTGTCTGAAGTGAGCAGAATGCTTGGCGCCGAGAACCTCAGTTCAAGCTCTTCAATTTTGCATTTTGGATGTCGCCGTAGTCGCATGTGTTGAAAAGCTCTCCGTGTTGATCTTAAACTGCTCACCGAGACGTAAGTGTTCCATATGTCTTTCTTACATGTAGGAGCACAATACTGGCAGTCAGATCATGCCCAATAAAGTACAACTACCACGGTCGGAAGCGGCGAACAGTCCATCGGCCCTCCCGTGCCGAGAAACTGTCGCATTTTCTGGTGTGCTGACAGCTCCATCAACTCACGTAAAAACAATCCTAGATAGCTTAGGACTGACATCACCCAAGAAAAGCCAATGACGTCCCGCCACGGGACCGCGGCATGTTCATTAGGACTTCGCATGCTTGGTAGCGTTGCGCTAACGTGCTCAACCAACCTTCTCAGCCCAACAGCCGCCAAACTCTCCACCGAACAGGCAGCGAAATTCGCTGAATCGGGGGCCACAAGGGCCACCGTTGTTAGGTTAAATTCAGCAGTGGGGGCGCGTAAAAGCAGAACGGGCAGGGGATCTGCCGTTGATCTGGGGGCTATGCCGACTTAGGCACACCACCAACACGGCGCTTGCTGTCAGCCGAGATCCCTGGCGCGCAGGGGCTGTTTTCTGTTTTCACGAGCTAAAGGCACCACAGAAGGTTACATTGAGGGGCCGTGTGCCTGGCTGCCTAGCGAAGAGCCCACCGCGACTGGAGCAAACCTTTAAGCTTGCTTCTCCTAGGGCTGGCTGTGTGAGACATGGGGGCGTGTTGGACAAATGGGCTGCAAGGAGGACACGGGGGCTGAGTGTCTGGTTCAATCAAGAGAAGCAAAATTCCAGCCAGCCGCCGTGGCGTGAGGCACAGCGCAAGGAGAACCATGGGTAACGATCCTTTAGATTAGCTCGTACTTAAAGTGCGCCACGGCCGCCCTCCTCTGCCGCTGTTTGGCAGGACACAGTTATTGAATTTGAAGTCTTCATCGTCACGTCAATTCTTCAGCTTCTTAATCATCAAACGGGAAAGCGCACACGCATCACAGACCAACATGTCGCAAAAGTACACGGTCGGCGATGGCTCGCCATTCTTGAAGAGGATCGTCATCCCCTTCTACATCATCCGCATCGCGGTGATGCTTCTGCAAATCGTCCTCTACGGCATCACCATCGGATACGCGTCCTCCAACAGGAGCGAACTTAATGACATCGGCGGCACAACCAAGACAGCGAGCTGGGTCATTGCCATCCTGGTCGTGGTGATGATCATCATCATTGGCTGTTTGCTACTCGACCTCGTCTGCATCATCAAGCGATCGCGCAGGACACTCACACCTCGGTTTTTCCTCATTTGCAACTGGTTTGTGCCTTCTATTCCAGCGTGCGGCTGTGGCGGCATACTGACATTCGCGCTTGGTAGCATTCAAACGGCCGTCTGGACCATTCTTTTCGCGCTTACGGTCGCCGGCTCGGAGGGAAGAGCCATTACTGTCATCATCAACATCATTATCTAGTAAGTCTACTGCTCAATCCACGGGATTTGATTGAGGCTTTGTCTGACCGTTCTGATAGCGCCTCGTTTATCGGGCTTCTTGTTTACGCCTCCGTCATCTACCACAAGCACCGCAAGGGAACCCTTGGCGGCGCTTACGCGCCCGCGAACCAGAACCAGCCGACCGCTTACAACGGTTACGCCAATGAGCAACAGCCGAAGCCGTATAGCTCCCAGCCGTACGAGATGGATAACCGCTACGCATAAATGATAACCAAGAGATGGATCGGAAGACAAGGAATTATGTGTGACGGTTCTTTGTGCTTTTGCGATGGAGAGGACACATTTCATGATATGCTACTTTGGCACGAGCTTGCGCGACTGCGTTGATTTGATTGCACCCTAAAGATACCATTTGATTCAATAAAAAACCCAATTCAAGCATCAGGACCGTGTTCGCGTGGCGCCCAGAATGATCCTTCCCCAAAAATGTCGTGCAATTGAATGCGCGAACAACGGACCGACGCGATGTGACGTGCGCTCACGTACTGTAGCCAATGAGGACGCCCTTCACTGCAGGATCAGAAAACATCCACTCCTGTGTCGATCGAAGGATTTCAGCTGACAGCAAACAACGCTTGGCACGGGAAATGAGCCACTTCGCACTAAGCTGACTGCAGGATTTTGACTCCCACAAGAATGGATACTTTGCATGGCGTTTTTTGTTCGTGACTTGCTTCAACTTTGGTGAAAGGGAAAAATGTTCTCAAAAACCTTCCCTTCCCTTTATGGCACTGATGTCTCGATGTCGCAAACGGCGCTGCACCCAGCCGAAAGCCACGAAGGAGAAGCCGGATATTGTTATCCATACCGGCCCGGCCCCGGCGAAAGGTGGATCTTCCGGTTGCGGGGTTGCGGATCTTTCGGTGCCCGCCCGGAAACTTACGGCATAATCGTGAATGAGACAATTACACGCCTTACATTGGCCGTAGCAACATGCATAAGGTATGAAAGGGTGAGCACAATGGATCATGAGTGTGAATAGATTTTGAACAACATGACAGAATTGTCTGATGAAATAATATTACTCGCTTGGGCAACGAACAGCCGAAACTCCTGCATTACCGGAAACACATTTCCCTGAAGCGAAGCCTTAACTTCGCTGTCTATGCCCGAGTGCCCATAATCCTAAAAATGCTATAATCCTGTAAATCGTTCCAATGACCACAAGAGTTCCCATGTTCCTCCAAAGCCAATGCAAATGGAACCCAGTGGCATCAGCCGCCTTGTCGACATCAAAAATATCCGCAAACGGCGACACAAGCTGCCCAAAGTACACCTCCGCCAGCCACACACCCGGCGACGCACGCCACAGCCACTCGAGCTTCCACTCTTTCACCTTCGCCAGCGGCGGCGCGGCCCCAGACAAGATCGCCGTGATGAGGCTGATCATCGTAGCCAGCAGAGGCGCGTCCTCGCGGCGGACGACCATGCTGACGATGTTCGCCAGGCCGTAGATGCAGTAGAAGTAGAGGAAGTTGGCCAGAAAGGCGAGGCCCCAGTTGATTACCGGCACCGTGAGGAGCAGCACAAAGGTCGAGAAGTGCAGGCAGCCGAAGAACATGCGCGGCACCACGGAGATGAGCTTGGCGAGGAAGTAAGCGAGGCGGTTATGCCCGGCCTCGGCCTCGCGGCGGTGGACTAGCAGCTCTTCCGAGAACGACTTGACGCCGGGCGCGCCTGAGACCAGGCCGATGGCGATCGCGACGAGAAGGGCTAACTCGGGTGCAGACTTGATATCAACGGCGGTTGAGAGTATCGAGTAGGGTCCCTGGAATGTGCCGACGAACAAGATGCCCTTCTTGGAGTGCTCGGCCAAGCCGAGAAGGAAGCCAGCGAGGGCGGCCAGGCCCATCTCTGCCCAGAAGGCTGACTTGGCGCGGTACTGCTGGACCATCGCCCTGCGCAGACAAAGCCAGAGCTGTTTGAAGAAGGGTGCACCGCGGTGCTTGATGGCTTCGTGCATGCCGCTGTTGTTCATCATCGTGGAGGTGTGGTGCTCTTTCCCGCCCGGTCGATTCATTTGGTGATGGGAGGCCCAGTTTGAGATCAAAGAATCTTTGGAGATCTCGCCGATGTGTTTGTAGATTCGTCCGTTGCCTGTGATAATGTCCGTCACGACATCGCCGTGGTTGCTGTGCTCGGGGAAGTCGAAACCGATATTTTGGAAGTAGTTCTGCACCTCCGCCTGGGGGCCCTCGTAGATGGTCTGCCCGTTTCCAAGGAGGATGAGGTTATCGAAAAGTTGGAAAATTTCTGAGCGAGGTTGGTGGATGATGACGATGATGCTAATACCCAGACGGGCGACGGCCTTCAGTGTTCGCATCAGGGACGACGCTGCCGTTGCATCCAATCCGCTCGTCGGCTCGTCGAGGAAGATGGCCATGGGGGCAGACGCCAGTTCCATGCCGATGCTGACCCGCTTCCGCTGTCCTCCACTGATCACCGGTCTTCCGACCGTCCCCACAAGAGAGTTGCGGACATGAGAGAGTTCCAGGCAGTCGATGACTGACGTCACGTGAGCCTCGATGTCGTCGGTGGACCAAGTCCTGGGAAGTCGGATCTTGGCTGAGTGGATGATGTTCTCGTATACTGTGAGTTCCGGCAGGACGATATCGTCTTGAGGAACGTATCCGATCAGTTTCTTGTACCGCTTCAGCTTATCGGGGCTGCTGTTAACGGCAACCATCCCGCCGGTGTGCTTCGTCTTGCCCATGAGCACGTTGACAAATGTCGACTTGCCAGCACCCGAGCCGCCCATAACCGCCGTCAGAGTTCCACGGTCAATCGACCCCGTGACGTTCTGCAGAATCATCTTCTTGCTCTTCTTCGGCTGGAAGCTGAGATCCGTGTAGCTGAAGGACAGACCGAGGTTGGTCGCATCCGTGGCCCGGCGCATGGACTCGACGAATTTGAGAAGCTGGGGGTTGACCTCCTCCTTGGGCTGCGCCCCCGCCGTCCACTGGTGGTGATCGTAGTCCAAGGCGGCCTGGAAACCTGTGCCGTGGGTATCCGTCCGGTTCGGGGTGTACGTCGCGCTCATGGGAAGCATCTCGTGGTCGGTGTCGTGCTGCAAGGCCTTATAGCCCGTGATCTGCGCCTTCACGCCGCTTATTGAGGGGCGCTTCATGTTCGACGCATGATCTGACCGGTAATCTTTCACCCTCTTGCGCAACGCGTGCACGATGATGCCCATGATTACCAAGACGTCGACGAGGATGAGCACAAGCAGGGGAACGAGGAACAGCTCGTATGTCGCACCCGCTTCGCAGCGACTGCCGGTGAGGCATGGCGTCGGGCTGGTGGCGCCCGGTTGGCAATACGTGCCCTTTGGGCATTGGATCTTTTCTACTCCGGGCGGTGGACAGTAGTATCCCTGCTGGCAGACGACCGGTTCGAATGGGCCCATGGGGAAGTTTTGCCCGTTCACCATGCAAGTCATCGAGGCGAGTCTTGCCATCTGACATTGGTCGGCGGGAGGGCAGTATTGGGGCAACGAATTGACGGTGTTATTCTCGCCTGTGATCGTCAGTGGGCAGATTCTCCTTGCTCGACTCTGATGAACACTTACACAAAAACCCCGGGGCGCACCCGTTAGCATTCCAGTCGGCGGCTTGCACGATCCGAATGGGGACGGCTTGGCCATCGGGCCTGTAACACGGCGCCGCGCTCTTCGGCTGCTGGTTGCTCTGGATCTCACTCCACGCCGCGTAGAACGTCGCTGAAAAAGACGGCCGGTTTGTCCCGGTGCAGGCTTGATCGTACACACTCAACCCGTCGTCATTGGTCAGGTCTGTCAACGATCCAGAACTCAGTCGCATCGGCTTGTTAGTGTTCGGCCCATTTGACAGGTCGTCAACCTTGCCGTCGACAGCGTTGCCCCCATTAACCGTTGGGAACCACTTCCCACTGTTAGTTGTATAAACTCCTTGCGTTTGATTACCGATGCAGTGCCAGGCCGCTTCTGAGTTGTCGTCGCCCGTCGTGCGCAGTGCACAGAGACATGCGGCCGTGTCGAGAAAACTCGGCCCTTCGGGATCCACCTGTGGGAGGTAAGGGTCTTGGGGGAGATGACCCGCGGCGCCGAGAGAGAGAAAGTCACGGCTCATATTGGGAGATTTTGTCGTCCGCGCTTCAAATCACAGCTGTCTCTCTTTTTTGTGAGGGATTCCTCCGACAGCAGACTGCCGGTCTTTAAACAGCTCCATGGACGGGGTTCACAGGCGCCGCTTTCAGGCCCTGCCTTTTCCCTATTCCGGCGTCGTGAGATTTTAGCGGGATAGACCCTCTTCTCATTTTCCTCAAGGGATCGGGGGGCTGAGCGATACATGCTATTTCCCAGCTAGGGTAGTTTCTCACACAACAGCTGAGCTGTGCAGCTATCTTTCCCCCCGGCGGTCTGCATGCTGACATACCGCGCCACGGAGCAACTACTCACGCCTTGCCATTGTAAGACCTCTTCCGTCATGGCTGAAGAGGGCTTGTCTTGGGGAGAAGAACCCTGGCGATCTCTGCGTGGCCAGGGTGATTAGCGTCGGGAATTGAGGCCCACGCCACGCTGACATAAACCGGGATGTCACAAGAATGTAGAAGCCTAAATGGTGCGGAGCTTCGGGGACCCTTTTTATATCGTCCACGGTAAGGTCTGAAATACTAAGCCCCGATAGGGCTTAGTACGTACAACCAGGGCTGACCGTGTATGCCAGTTCAGACGAACCGTTCTGCCTCAAAGGAATTGTTGGTGGAGCATCGGTCATTAGGAAAAGCGAGCTAGGGTAGTTGAAAGACGGCGCCGTTGGTCGGCAATTCCTATTAGCTGCCTTGAGGTGCCGTGAGCCGACGTCCCTCCCGACGCCTTACAGCAAACACCGTCACAACAACCGATAAATAGTTATTCAATCTTCTAGTGCGCAGTCTGGCGGTCACCTTCGTTCTTCAAAGATCCATCCTAATCGGGACATGTCTAGTGAGATACTCCGACCAAGTAGGCAGCGTGCGCTTGTACGGGTTTCCCTCAGTCGTGAGCTGCAGGTCCTCAATCGCGCTTCCCCATTTGACCAGCTCAGCTTCACCAAACGCCGTCTGCATAATTGCCAGCCCGAAGCCCATGCCGCTGTTGGAGTGCACGCCGACCGGGAGGGTGATCATGGGGTACCCCGCCTGTGCAGCGATTTGGTACGACTGGCCTACGTCGGGAGGAACGAGAAGCCCTGACAATTTCGTTCCGTTAGTGGAAGTGAGGGCCGCGTCGATGCCGTTTCTCGTGGATCGTTGCGTGAACTCTAATGCTTGATTGTAGGTCTCATCTTTGATGCCTTTCGACGCGAGGGACGCAAGGAAGCCATCTTGACCAGAGTAGAATGCGGGATGGCCCAGTGGCCAGGGGTTTCCGCCCTCCGTCCCGTCGTTATCGTAATTGAACTGGACGATGTCTTCAATGGAGCGGATGTTGGTGTTCTCAAGCTCAGAGAGGTAGGTGTTGATGTTGTTGTAGAAGTCCACCTTGACAACAGTATACTCAGACTCGTTTGCGTAGCCCCGCGTGGTTCCGTAGTCCCAGTTCCACCCGTCTGGGCTCACAATTCGCTCGTAGTCGGTGATTTCCGTGTTGTTGATTATCGTCGCTCCGGCGGAGGTCAACAGATCAAGCATGGCTACGAGGATGCCTCTTTGCTCGTCATCGGCGTAGACCCAGAAGCTGTTCCACGGTATGCCAAATGTGGCGCTCTTCAAGCTCTCTTTCGTAGACAGGAACTGGGTGTATCCGTTTTCGGGGGTTCTCCCTTCTTGGGCGAGCGTGTAATTATCGCGGTGGTCTACGCCAAATATGGAATCAAAAGCATATACCGCATCTCTCACAGTACGTCCAAACGTTCCGACGGTATCCTGGTGCTCACTTTCCGGTACAACCCTGGCAAGTTAGCACACTCACAATTTCCATATCCAGGGTTAAAATCTGTCTTACCCAGCTCTCGAGGTCAGGCCCACAGTCGGCTTAAACCCAACAACACAGTTCCGCATAGCAGGATTGATCACGCTCCCGTCCGTCTCGGTGCCAAGCGAGAACGTAATCGCATTCGCAGCAACGCCCACCGCACTCCCCGTGCTGCTGCCCCCAGGCGTGAGAGTCAGGTTATACGGGCTCCGACACTGCCCTCCGCGCGCAGAATAACCTTCGGAGTAGTTATTGCTGCGCATATCAGCCCACTCGCTGAGCGCCGCTTTGCCAAGCAGAACCGCGCCGGCGTCGCGCAGACGGGCCACCACGTGGGCGTCTCGTGGGACGATACTCCCCATTAGAGCCCAGCTGCCGGCTGTTGTTTCCATGTTGTCCTTAGTTGCGATGTTGTCTTTGACTGTGAAGGGGATTCCGTGGAGCGGACCACGGACCTTTCCGGCCTTTCTTTCGGCGTCCATCTGAGCTGCAATTTGGAAGACGTCTGGGTTGATTTGAAGAATTGAACTGCGTTTTGTTAGGATACAGAGTTACGCCAAGTTGGGTGTCGGCACATCTTACTGCACATATTCCTGTGTCTGGTACGTCCGCTGCAGGTAGCACGCTACCAGCTGCTGAGAGGTTACCGTGCCAGCCTCCATGGCCGCTTTCATTTGGTCAATAGTTGCCTCGTGCAGGATGAAGTTACCACATGACGGCATGGGAAAGAGATCCGCGGTGCCGGCATTTTGGAGCAAAGGGAACACCGAAGGGGACTCTATGCTGGAGTTTCTGGGCCACGCAAAGTCGGCGCCACAGACCAGCGAAGCTTGAACAGCCGCCAAGACGGCAGCAGACCGACGCATCTTGATTCTGTCAGTCAGACCGGACGTATTGACGATGTTCCGTCTCGGTGTAGGCGGTCATCAAAAAAAGAGGGAGCTGTAAAAGGGAAAGACACCGCTTCTTTAAATACTCACGCGTCAGCTGATAAGCACAGCGCGAGGTTCCCCGCGGTGAGCTGCAGATGCGGTACATATTAGATTGCAGCGGAACCTCGATTTCCAGCTTTGTGGAATTGGTTGGCTCCTGCTTTCCGGGGCGACCCGCCTGCAGTGGAGGGTTGCAGAATGTCTTATCAGTGATTGCTGCTTGCCTTGAAGGGGAAATTTCGGCACTAGGCGAGTGCAAATAAGAAAAAACAAGAATCATGATGATATATTTAGTCATATGTATATATATGATCGGGGAAAGAAATGAGAGCTCCAGTTGTAAACATATGAGAACTCATCCTATGCGAGTCTACTATCGACATAGAGGCATTCAGCGTTCCTGTGTCAGCTACCACCACCAGGACTGTTGCGCTAAGCTGATTTAAGTAGAAAAGTGAGACGAAGGCTGGCGTTCTGGTCCCTTTAAAGCAACTCATTGGGTGTTGTCTGGGGCGGGCTGGGGATTCTGGCTCTTTGGAGCTGAAATTAGGGCCAGCGCTGCGACAGGGAGTCGACAACCTTACGACAAGCTGCCCTGTCAGACAACAGTAAACCAGCCAATGAAGTTACACAGAAGTTCTTCTCAGTGAATTCCAGCTTCAAATCGGGCAAATGGCGCCACATGCGCTAAAGAGGTCGCGTATTCGTTTATTTCTTGGCTTGCTGATGGTGTCCTGCTGTGCCCTCTTGAAGGCCTCAATTGGGATACCTTCATCATATTTACACATATTAGCCAGAAGTCTCTGATGAGTTCCTTTCTCGTGTCTTAAATATCTGTATTAACGCCATCTGAAAACACACATCCTCCTTCTGCATCATCAACCCATCAGCACCAACATCATCCCCTCGGGTGAAGGACGACACTAGGCAGCCATAATGATACAACCTATCGAAACTCGAGAAGGCCCAGGCCTTTCCATTCACCTCCTCGATCCCACCGCGCCGCTGCACCCCGGCTCCGTCATCCGCGGCCACGTCACCCGTAAATCGCACATCGTCGCCGCCTCCGCTACCGTCCGCATATGTCTCATCGGCGACTCCGCCGCCCGGCTTCAAGTACAACAAGGCAGATCCGTAATCGTACTCGGTGCGGGCTTCGAGTTCTGGAGCCGCAACGCCATGTCCCAAGTCATCCACCGGGGCCCGGTGCACATCGCACCAGACTCCACCAACGCGTCGCAGACCTGGCCCTTTACGCTGGTGATACCGAAGCACACGGATGGCAAAGCCCTGAATTTGGGGCTGAGAAAGATCGAACGGGAGGCGAGCTACCTCCGCGCGCCGGGGGACCCGAACGGCAAGCAGCCCCTACCAGAGCAGCCTCTGCCGGCGACATGGGGTATGAATGTCTGTGACGGGTACGGGTTCGTGGAGTACTACCTGGAGGCGGAGATACTGGTCGAGGCGAAGAAGATGGAGCCCATTGAGGCGACGCTACCGGTGCGGGTGTTGTCCCGGCCGGCGCCGGCGTTGATTACGGATTTTGAATTGCAGGGCACGACAACGGAAGGGTGCGTGGCCAGCCATCGGCTCGCGCCGGGGATGGAGCACGCGGAGCTGACGTTCAACCAAAAGAGGCAGATGTTCCTCGGCTCGAAGAGGGTGCCGGCGTGGCATTTCAACCTGCGGGTGGAGTGTGCCTCCGTCATCCAACTGGACAACCCTGCCTCGATCCCATTCCGGCTGAAGGTCACCCCGGACCGTGCAAAGAGCTCGGAGATTCTGCGAGATGTCCCGCAGAAGGTGTTTCTCACGAATGCGGTGATCAATCTGATTAGTACTGGGCGCGTGTCATGCCCGGGCTCGGGAGAAGTGCACGAAGGGACCAGCACAAGGATGTTACCCCTCGGCCGAACGATCGCGAGCGAGACTGGGTCGCCCTTGATTCCATCAGCCGCGGGGGAGAATGCGTTGGATCTGGGCGCGCTCTTGGATGCGTCTGCGGACCCGGAGCTGCACGAGCAAAGACGTCATTATCCATTAAAGCCGGACTACACTACGTACTGCTTTTCGCTTTCGCACACTTTGAAGTGGGAGTTGCACCTTGTCATTGCGGGAGAGTCTTGGGAGTGCAGCGGGTCTCAGAAGGTTGTTGTGCTGCCGGCGGCTGAGGTGGCGGCAATTGCAGAGGGAACGGAGGAGCCTCCGGCGTATGATGGGCCGAGCGGATCGGCGCCGGCTTATGAAAATGTTGTTGGCGATGCGGGACGTTTGCCATCGGCTGGAGGGGAGATATCATAGGGATCAAGTGCGACGGGCCGTGTAAGTGATGGGTCATGATACCAAGAATGAGCATCAAATCATGCCAGGGGACTTTGATTCCATACCAATCGGTTTACAACGTTTCGGGCTTTCGTCCGGGGTTTCGACGCAGGTGGCTGAAGGGTCCACAGTGTCTGGTAGGCGCTGAACACAGCTGAAATAAGGTACCTAGCACAGAGAAACTAACATTACGGTGGGTCTATGAACCCTGTCAAACCTCACACGGGCCCGACTCTAAAGCCCCCGGGGCGCTACATGAGGTCTCGGGCATGTGCACCGATGTACTCACCTTCACTGTATCCACCGCCGACTACAGCGCCGTCGTCCGGCGTCCGCGACGGCTAAGTCCCGACGCGAGTCCTGCCCCCGACCCGGACGTTCGTCCATCCAGCTAACCGCCACAGCGGAAGAAAGCAGTCACAACGTCCCGTAAGTCACGCCTGGCTCTGAACAAGTATCACAATGTCTGATGATCACCAGATCTCATATCCCGTCCTCAACTCGGTGCTTCCCCAGCGCCCAGATTCATCGACCGACGACGTGATTGAGGCCGTCCTTAGGGACCAGCAAGCGACCCCAGATCTCGATGACCGCCTCGGCTTTTTGCAGGCTAACGTCAACAGGAACTGGGATCGCCTCAATGACCTCTTTGAGCATGTCAAGTCGTTGGACCGCGCCCCTGCCTTCATTGCCATCCAGGACCCTCCCTACGACTTTGCCACGGATTCGAAGAGAGAACGCGCCGGCTATTGGTGTGAGGCTCAACATGGCTGGCCGAAACTCGAATCCAAGGACGAGGTGGAGATGGAGAACAACGTGCCAGTGCTAGCCTCGAGCCGCGAAGCTGTCGCCGACTATTGCATTCTTTTGGGCGACTTCAATCTTCGTCATCGGGCCTGGAGCGACCGACACCTTTCTGATAGGGCTACGAAGCAGCTGGAGATCGAGACTCGACTTGCCGGAATGCGTTGTCTTCTGAAGCCAAAGGACTTCACGTTCAAGCGAGGGGAGACGCAGACTACCATCGACCTGGTTCTTCTCGGTGAAAGGCTCAAGGACCTTTGCGAGCTTTTTCACGTCACGAGGCCGCGTGGTTTTACCACGGACCACGCAGTACTCGAGACAGTCCTCAACGTGTCGCCCGATCGGGATCACACCCCGGTCCTCCAGATTGACAAGGCAGACCCCGACGTCGTCCGGTCAGAGATGGCCACTCGTCTCCTTGCCAAATTTGGCGATCCATCTCACCTGCGTCAGCATCAACTGTCCACCACCGACAAGCTCGACCAGTTCGCCAAAGCCTTTGTTGTGTCCGCCAAGGCCGCCATCGATGCCACCATTCCCACCGTCATCCGCAACCCCGTTGGCCAGAAGCCTCCAGTGCGAACACGCGTGGTCCAAGAGAGACTTGCGCGAGGAACACGCACTTCGCGTCCTTTACCGGCAGAAAAGGGGGACTCGAGCCCACAACTACGCCTACGCGGTATGGCTGGACGCCGTCAAGCAGACCAACCGTTTTATGCGTATCGCCAGCAACGTCAGGAAGCGTACCCGAAGCGCTCAGCAAGCCAAAGACCTCTCAAGCCTTTTTGCTATGGCAAGATCGGCTCGCTTCTACGGCAAGATCAGGGCCTCGCCTCACATGCCATGGCTCAAGAAGCCGGACGGCACAGCCTGCGCAAGCTCCGAGAAGAACGCTCGCTGTTTTCGCGACGCGATGTGGTCCGACACAAGCGAAGAGCGCCTGGCTCCTACGGAGTTGCCACCTACCCTGGTGCGATCTCGTGCTTCAGCTGCATCAGGCCACGCTCTGTCGACTCCTTCACGGAAAAAGTCAAAGCCGAAGAAGAAGAAGACCCGAAAGGATAAGGAGACTACAGTCTGTCCACTTGGGCAAGACGGTTCTTCGTCTACAGAACCTCCAGCTGATATTGCGCCCAGCTCTGGTTCACCCACATCCAGCGTCGCTACCTCCACTTCCTCTGATGGCTCTATACCAGCATTGGCATCAACAACATCCATATGTTCCGTCCGCGCATCGCCTGGCTCACTCAGTTCGTGCAGTCATCCTGTGACTCAGCCATCCGGCCCTGGCGCTTCGGCCGAGCAGACTAGCTTGTCTAGTCCGCCAACAACACCCTCCGCTACTTGCACGGCCTCATCGAGCCCATCTCCTGTCAGTCAGCCTGCCCTAGTTGCCGCTGCTGGCCCTGACTCTCCGAGCCCATCTCCCGCCAGTCAGCCTTGTTCGGCTACGATACCGGAATCCATTAGATCGTCCCCATCATTCAGTGCTATTGGATCACGGCCTGGATCATGCGATGGAACCCGCAACGGCGCCCGCCCTCTTGGTTCTCGCCATCCTTTGTCAACCACGCGTTCGAAGTCTCGGTCAAGGTCTCCATCTAGGACTGACGAGATATCGAGCAGCAACGAGGCAGGATCGTCAAGAGCGGTCAACGATTCTACTAACACTCAATCACCTGAGCCTGCATCTCTGGCTGGCCTCCTTGGTGATACTGTCTTGGGTAGAAAGCCGGACCGTAACAATAGCTTCCAGAAAGCCGCCTTGTTACGCGCATTGGCAAAAGAAGGACCCCCAAAGGTTGATGAAGATACGGTGTCCCGTATCATTCGGAAGCTTCCCAGCCGCAAGGCAGCTGGCCCAGACGGTGTTCCAAGTGACGTCCTCAAGATGACACTGGACGCCATTTTGCCCTACCTCGTTCATCTCTTCAAGGCTAGTGTCAACCTCAACCACCACCCCGAATGCTTCAAGGAGTCCTACACTGTGGTCTTGAAGAAGGAAGGAAAGGACAACTACACCTTACCGAAGAGTTATCGGCCTATCGCCCTCCTTTCTTGTGTGGGTAAGGCTCTGGAGCGATTGGTTGCGGACGATCTTCAACGCCTCGCACTCAAATACGGCCTAATTCCTCCCACACAGTATGGGTTTGCTGGGAAGAGTTGTACCAAGGCACTAGAGCTGATCGTCAACACCGTCCTCAATGGCTGGTGCGCGACTACGACGGACAAGAAGTGGCGGACTACTCTCTTAGGTCTCGACATTTCGGGTGCCTTCAACCACGTCGACCGTCAGGAATTGATCAAGGTTTTCGCTGAAAAGGGCATACGGCTGTGGGCTTTGCGATTTGTGTGGTCATTCTTGTCGGACCAATGCACTTCTGTCAAGCTTCCAGGACACACCTCGGCAAAGTTTTGGGTCAATGTTGGGATTCCCCAGGGAAGCCCCCTCTCGCCCATCCTTTTTGCGTTGTTTGCCGCTCCCATCCTGGATATCCTACAGCGCCAGAATCTGGGCCGGAGCCGAATCCTTCTTGGCCTTTCTTACGTCGACGACACCTACATCATGGTGTGCACCGATGACTGGGAAAAGAACTGTCGCATTTTGGAGGAGTGTCACCAGAAGATTGTGGACTGGGCTACTCCTCGTGGTCTCCGCTTCGATCCTGCGAAGTACAACGTCATGCACTTTCGCAAGCCCCACGGCGATTTGAACGCAGCTTCTGCGCCCCAGAATATCCCCAACCTACCATTTCTGACGGAGGAAAACCTGGTGAAAGAGACGGACGAAGGTGGCCTTCGTATTCTTGGCGTTCAGGTCGACCATCAGTTGACTTGGAAATGGCAAATCGACCAGGTAAGTTTCCCTTCATGACCACTTGAGATGTTCTAACAATTACAAACAGATTGAGGAGAAGGTCCGTAAGAAGCTGAACCAGCTGAAGCGCATGTCGACATCTGTCTCGGGGCCGAATCTCCTTCACATGAGGCAGCTGTACCTCTCTACCATCCGTCCCATTATCTCCTATGCCTGCCCTGCCTGGTTCATGCTTGGCAACGACTCCTCCACGACCTACAACCTTCGACAACCCTACATCCATCGCCTGGACAATCTGCAGAACGAATGCTTAGTCACTGTCGCCGGTGCCTACAAGAAGGCGCCCACCGTCCCGCTCCACAAGGAGCTTCACGTTGACCCAATCGCCGTCTACTTGCAGCGAGTCGCCATGTCACACCGCGCCCGCAATATTTTCACCGATGACTACGACCTCATCAACACAACTTCGTTCCCATGCAAGAGAGAAATGACCTTCTTGAAGTCCCATCCATACAAGATCGATTACGACCACGCCAGGAAACTCGTCGAGGAGGCGGAGCAGCAGCTTCGGGAGTCGAAGCCTAGCCTCGCCGACGCCACTCTGATTGACATGGATCCTCGCAAGAGGAGTCAAGTCATCAACCGGTACATCCGCGCGCAAGCGACGCTCCTCAGTGAGCATCTTTGGAAGGCATATCGCGACCGTCCACGACCGTCTCGCACGGTCGCCTACGGCCTCAGAGGCCGCCCTGTTGCCGCTGAGGGAAAATGGGGCGCTTTCAACCTCAAGCGGTACAAGGGCCTGTCTCAGGCGCAGTCCTCCATTCTGATCCAGTGCAGGACTGGCTACATTGGCCTCAAGGCCTTCCTGCACCCGAAGAACGTAAGTTCAATGCCACATCCACATTCGTCATTACCCTTCCACACTGTTAGGCATCTGGTCCTCTCAGCCTACGTACCTTTCGCTTTGCACCGACTTTGCGTTCTTTTTCATCCATGATCACCGGTTGCTAACTTCTCCGTTCCAGCTTGCCGACACAGACATGTGTTCTTGCGGTCAAGATGAGCACACTGTTGAACATCTCATCTTCGACTGCCCCTCTCTAGCCAGTGTTAGAAAGAATCTTCCCATTTGGAAGTAGACAATTTCTCGGTATCACGCTCACGCCAGGCAGCGACGCTCCCTGGATGATTTGCTCACCGACTTCTCCCGTGCGGTCTCGACCTGGGCCATTCACCACTTTGGTCTTGACCAGTTTGCTTGGACGGACCAACACATGATTCACGGACCGTCCAAGAAACACTCGCACTTTCACTGTGAAGTGACATAGTGTATTAAAGTGTACTTTTTGGGTGTGTCTCCTCTTTCTTGTCTCCGGGCTATGATGCTGACGTGTTCTCGTTCAAGAAACTCTGCCAGCACGCAGGCTACCCTTGCAGCCACCCCCTTTCCCTCTTCGCTTCTCCCTTCGTGAGTACTTCGTCTGCTGCTCAACATCACATGAGACTGACTTTTGGCCCAGCCGCTTTCAGTAGTTGGGAAGGACCACAGCTGTTGCTGTGCTTATTTCGTTCATGTAGTCCTCGTGGTAACTTCACGTTTCTTATTTGTCATAATTGCAAACTAACAGGATATTCAGTTGCAAAATTTCCTCCAACTCGTTGATGTCCTCTTTAAGCTCTTCGTCATCGGGTTCTCGTGAGGTTCTCATCCGTCGATGTATCTGCCGGAGCTGCGAACGGACGATATACTTTATATCTGGTTTGCTGTCCCATAGATACAGGAGATATGCAGCGACTCGTAGGATGCGTAAGTATAAACTCTGAACAGATTTTCTTGACTATTTATACTAATTTCTGGTGCTCTATTTTAGAGATGAGGTGTTCGTAGTAGTCTTCATGATTGTCCTTGGTTGCGATATCAGGGAAAGTATTGTTGATGAACTGTTCAAGCTCATATTTGTTTTCTTTTGCTGTCTGGACAGGGCAATGCTTTGCTCCTGTTTGGTCGTTGGTTGTTGTAAGTGTTTTTGCTGTATTGCAGAGCTTCTACTGATTGATTTCCTAGCTTGTGATCAGCATTCTGGTCAATGTGGGTTTGGACATGATGAGTTGATCTTGTCAGGGATGGTTGATGGGTAGAGGAAGGTATGAAGCTTCCGCTCGCTGATGACCTGATCTCGGGCGACTAATCTGACCCAAAGAACAGACCCATGTTCTTCCTCCTATATAATCTCATACAGTGAGTCATCTGCAGGCCATTGAGGTTATTGACAATGTAAGACTCTCCTTTCGTCTCTCGTGTACATGCGCTAACATTCAAAGACTCTTGCGAACCTGGATCGAAGCTTTCCTGGTTATCATAAACAGCATCACGATGCATAGTAGGTATCTATCAAAGTATAAACAGAATTTTCATAGTGTGGTGTAAACCTCCACAAATTGGATGTGGCTGGGCTCAAAAGGTGGAAGATAAAAATATGACTACTACATAAACCTACCCTCGAGCTTCCCAATTAGCGAATGGCATCGTGATGTGAGTGAGAGAAGCGGATTCCACCAAAGTCTGTTTGGTAGGCCTGTGTCTCAAAAGGCCTTCACTTCAGGTCTGAGCCACACGAGCGGGGTGCAAATAAGTAGCACCTGCAGCCGTCAAACACCTGGGCCATCTTTCCCCATCTAGCTTCTCGTTTATACTTTCGTAGTCTGCTCTCAGTCACATTTACAACTCCGGTCAACGTTGCTTTGTCACCGTTCCTCGAGTCGCATCACCATGTCTTTACGGTCTGGTTTTCTATCCCTTCCCCGCGAGATACGCGACATCATCTACGCATTTTACGTGTTTGCGGAAGACGGATATACCTGCAATTACGACAGACTAGCTGGCAGCATTCTGAGCCAGCACGAGCTCAATGCAAACACCCCTAGGCGCTATGTTGCTGGCGTTCTGCAGAGGGCCGATCTCCAACCGATCGATCTCAATCTCAGCTACACCTGCCGCCTCGTGGCACGAGAGATGAGGGGTGTCGCCCTGGAAACAAATGCCATCACCTTTTCCACAATGACCTCGAATGAATTACGCACCATCGCCTTGCGCTTCAACCATTTCATGGTCAAACGTTTCGACGGCGACCGAGATGCCGCTTTCCGCTTCGCCGGCTTTGCGATGCCGGAGGGTGAGAGACAGGGTCTCAAGCTCAAATTTCCTCAATTTGCGCCCTTGCTCGACCGCATGAAGCAAGAGGGGAACACGCACCCCGAAACGAGACTCACAACAGGCTGGGACGGTTTAGCGCAGTGGTATCGCACGGGAGGCGGGAGATTCAGGTCCCGAATGGGGCCGTATGGGGAGGCACCCTCACTGTACCGGACATTCCTGAAAGACGCGCTCACAGCAATCGCCAGCTCGAAATTTGGTCGTCAACAGATTGAGAGGTTCTGGCGGGAGACCTGTCCAAAGTCAGCCCACCTTATCCCTGCGCTTCGCGTGGTTGAATGCAAGATCCAGCACTGGGCTGTCCCGTCGGCGGAAGACATGCGGTACCTAACTCTTGACCAGGCCTCAAACAGTCGGTCGAGAGGAACGCGTCTTCGGGATCGCACAAAATACCGGTTCTCGGCTGCAGCGGTTGCCATTCACGTCCTGCAATCTCTACCCGTTTCCTCACGCATGCACCTACGGCGTGTGATCTTGAACGAAGATCGGGAGGCAGTGGCGGATCCACAGTGCCACGGTCTCGGGCTGATTCCATTTTGCAAGGAAAATCCTCTGCTTCGCGTGGAACGGCGTGTAAGTCTGTGGAGGAATGCCTTTCAGACTGATACTGCCTATAGAAGCCCGGATGCGCGGTACAAGCCCAAATATCGATATACGCCTTGGGCTATGGATTCATCTCAGGTCACGCACAACGTCTCCAGCTGGGTTATAGAGGCATTGGCCCTCGAGCCCGCGGGCATGCCTTCAGGGTCATTCTCGCTACTTCTGGATGGCCAGCCAGTGCCCTGGCAATGCACGCAAGTCTTCCAACTGATTGTCCAGCGAGATGCGGCTTGGCAAGCAGCATGGCTTCTTTCCCTCGACCTAGGGATCCTCCCGTCGCTGTCGTGGTTCGACAGAAAAGGGGAGTTGAGGGGAAGTCGGGTGCCTGACCTGCCGTCCGAGAAGTGGCCACAGGCTCTCCGAGATATCGCAGAGGGCAGCTCCATCGTGAGATGCAATTTCGACGTTGGCGATTCGTGGGACGTTGAAAATATTGTCGAGGACCACCGGCAATGGACGGTTCAACAGTGGATGGAGGGGTTGGGTAAGCGCGAGCCGTCGACGTGGGAGCCCGATGCTCCGTTGCCTAATTGGAGGGAAATCATAGAGGAAAACCTCGTTTACGTGGAGCCGGAGGATGATGTGTCGTCTACAGACTCCGATAACGAGACGTACTCCGACGAGGATGATAGCTAAGGAGGTTTTCCAAGTTTGTCCCAGCTCTACGAGGGCCACCTGACGGATCCCTTGTTTTCATAATTCGGTAGCTAATCCATCTCAGGACTACGGACAATGTCTGCCGATGTACAATTATCTATCTGAAGTTCAGCTGCGCTCACTAAGTACGGACTAAGCCATCCGACTCTCCCCTACCAGTTCGCCACCTTCTCATCAGACCAGTACTCTCCAGTCTTTCCTCCGATATCCGCCAGAGCAAGGTGGACAGGCGTTTGCGCGCCTTGATCAGGCGTCTTGGTTCCCTTGCCTCTCGTCATGGATGTCACCACCCATCCAGGGTGACATGAGTTGGCCAGAATCTTGCTGCCGCTGTCCTCCAGCTCTTTCGCAATCGCCCTCGTCATTCCAATCTCGCCGGCCTTGGACACGGCGTACGCCGCGCTCGGCCACCCTTCCTGCTCATGATTGCCCTTCTCCACGGCGGCGGAGAAGTCCTCCATCAACCTAGTGACATTCGACACCGTCTGCGAAGCCAGGAAGCGCTCCTTGATCTGGGGAGAGTACTTGCTCAGGGCCCCGGCCACGGACGCGACGTTGATGATCCGGCCTTGGGGCTTGAGGATGGGGACCCAGGCTCGTGTTGCGTTGAGGGTGCCGTAGTAGTTGCAGCCTATCGTGGTCTTGACCACGTTTGAATCTGGATGTCATTGGTGAGCCAAGGGGGCTGTTGGATATGTGCCGACAGGGGCTACCACTCACCGAAACCTTGCATCGCGATGCCGGCATTGTTGATGACGAAGTCGATGCCGTCGGGATGCTCCTTCTTCAAGAACTCCGCCAAGCCCTCGATGCTCTTGGCGTCTGAGATGTCCAGCTGGTGGTACTTGATATCGGCGAGGCCGCCGTGCGTAGCCAGGGCTTTGGCTTGCTTAAGGTCTGCATCAGCGCGGATGGCAGCCAAAGCCTCCTCGCCGCGAGATATGTCGCGGGCCGTCAGGTAGATGAGTAGAGACCCGTTGTTCAAGTGCGATGCTGGGTATTGCAGTGCCAATTGTCGTACTTGTTTGCGGTTGGGAAGTGTCAGTTGGAAGATGACGTTATGGACATCAAATAGCCTGGGGGCAGCTCACCGATCGCGTACCCAATGCCCTTGTTGGCACCAGTTACCACACCAACACGAGCGTAAGTCATGTTGAGTTGAATGAGGGATTGTAAGTCTTGATGGGTAGTCTTTTGGTGAAATTCGTGATTCTTGATGGCTTCATTCACAGGAACAGACACTGGTGTTTTGGACCTCGAGGTCAGAATGGGACCAAGCGCAGCAGGCAAGCAAGCACTTCAGTGGACCCGATCCAGTGGTGATTCATGGTGGCGGGTGCCACAGTGGCTTGAACCTCACTACACGGGTGGCGCCGTCCCAAGATGGTTCGTCTCTTAGTCTTTCTGATCTAGGACTTACCTCATCATATTCCACAGTATTGCAATTCGGAGTTTGTGTGATTTACGAATTCAGCGGTGTGTAATAGGCACGCTATGTAAGCGGATGCAATGACTACGCCCCATCCACGGCCCGACACCGATTGAGCCCTTGTTCGGTCGGGTAAACGCCCCGGTGGAAGCCACAGAAACTCAATTCCGCCAGCTTCTTAGGTGTCTAGCCGCAGGAGAACAACCTAATGGTTTTGGACCAAACAACATGTAGTGACACTGAAGAGGAAGCTGCATTTGATTCTGCCGCGTTCTTCGCATCGATCACCAATTACCGAGCCGGACTCTGTCAGCGATGGAGTCACCCAACGTTCACGGCCCAATAAGACTCGCTAACAGGGGAACCGCGAGGATATCGCTTGTAGATAGCGTGACGTAGAGGCGATTGTGACTTGGGTCCGCCATTGGCCTCAACTCTCCGCCAAGGTGCCAAGAGCCGCAATCAAAAGCCTGCGGTAACGCAATTGGGGAATAGGAATGGGATTCCTGGTTACGAGCGACGCGAATCCCCCGTCATTGCAGCAGCGCAGCTGACCTGGCAAGCTGACAATGCCTCGCCCGCCTAGATGAACAAGCTCGGAGGAAAAGATTCGACAGGAAATGCGCCCCCCGCGAACAGCCAAGGCCGCACATGGCCGTCTTGTCCCGGACGCCGCATTCCTTGTCTCTCTACCCGGGGAAAAGCTTCGCTTGCTTGGCCACAGCATTTCCTCTTTTCTGACCAGATAATAGGGAATGGGGTCCAACACAAAAGTCACCAGGATACAGTATGTGGTCCAAATAACCGGACATGCCATCCATGCGGCGACGGCAGCTGCAGCGGCGCCTTCACCCGCACGAAGCACGCAATCCGTAAATGAAGCCTCCCGTTGGCTGTATCGTCTGTTCGTTCTGCATCGGCTGTTCCATCCCACTGGCCTTGAATTGGCGCGTCTCACCGCGTGGTATGCACCGGCTACACCGATGCGCCGGAACGCCTCGACGAATGAGCTGCTGCCAGTCGTGAGACTAGCATGGTTACGTTGGATGGAGACTCTTTGCTGATGGCTGTCACTGCGACATGGTATCTCGCCCGAACGAAGCAGGCAGCGAATGGGCATTGGCTGATTGCGTTTCTGTTTCCCCGTGGTCCGCTTTTGACGTCTGCGGCCAAAACAGCACCAACAGAAGCATGCGCTGCAACGAGCTCTCATTCCCTGCTCGAGAAAGCTTCCAACAAGACTCGTTATCTGCCTCACTATCTTTCTCTTCGGCGCCCCATGTCGTCACTCGCCAGGGGCTCTCGCGTCACAACGCAATGGGAAACCCTGAGTTGTTTTCCGACGTTGGCGGCGAGGAGATGCAGAGTTCGAGTATTGGGAATAATTCGGCGCAAAACTTTGACGCAACGGGCCTGGACCCTGCGAGGTTTAAATCGACATGTGCTCGGGCTGCTGTCTGCAACCTGCCTAGCCCCGAGGGGAAATCGTACGGCTCGCTGATCCGCAGACAAGAGACTCTCCTGCAGCCATTCACAGAGCATGGGTTCCTCCTCGTCCCCTCCCCGTCCTCTGCTCCCCCAGTCGTGCGCCGCCTGTGTGCCCTTACCATGTCGAGGATAGTTCGCAATTGGGGAACCCGCTTCCTTGCAGCTTCACCATTTCCCCCCCTCCCCCTCCCCCCACTATCCACCTTTGTGTACGTTGCGACGCTGCGGTGCTCTGGTCCCTGATCTCTGGGAATTTTCGGTGCTTTTCTTAAAAGGGATCTGCAGTCCCCCGTATCGCTGCGCAGGTTTACCTTGGCTCTCTCGTCCTTCTTCCTGCTCAATTGCTCTCTCGGTCAACTCTCTGTGCTGCAGGTATCTTCCCCAGGCGAACACCAACAGGCGTCGCCAGCGTTTCCGCGCAAAGCCACATGGAATTCAAAGTCCAGTTCTTCTGTCTCCTCCTAAAGGCCATTCGGTAATTGAAGCGCGCGTTTCGTGGCTTCACGAAGGCTGTTTACTACCCCAAATCCCCGTCTACTACTCGAACTACAGCAAGTTCCCATCGGCCAGATCAGTTTTTCTCCAGGCCGCTCCGATTGAGTAGCGCATCCTCCACGCCGACCGAACCGGCCCCGATCCCCACATCTCCGATCATGTCGTCCACGGGCATTGACCGCGCGGGGGACCGCGACAATCTGCCCGGCTACGGCTACGCCAACCACGACCGCCATGTTGATGAGAAAACAGTCGGAGAGCCTTACGGCGAGCCGTTCGACGGCGGCTTCCGTTCTTCGCTCGACTCCGGAAACAAACAGGATCATACGCATCGCAAATTGAAATCTAGGCACATTCAACTAATTGGAATCGGAGGCACCATCGGTACGTCTCCACACCCCCGACCGAACTGCATGATCTCAAGACTGACATGTCACAAATAGGTACCGCTCTCTATGTACGTTGAAATGTCCAGCTCCTCGAACCACATCACCTAATCTCATATGCCTCATTCAGGTCCAAATTGGCAGAGGTCTGCTCAACGGCGGGCCTGCAAGCCTGTTCCTCGCCTTCAGCATCTGGTGCACCTTCATCCTGGCCGTCACCCTCAGCATGGCCGAAATGGTCACCTACCTCCCCATCTCCAGCCCCTTCATCCGCTTCGCGGGCCGCTACGTCGACGAGGCCTTCGGCTTCGCCGCCGGCTGGAACTTCTTCGTCTTCGAAGCCGCGCTCGTCCCCTTCGAAGTCGTCGCCTGCAACCTCATCATCCACTTCTGGAGCGACGCCGTTCCCGCGGGCGGCATCATCGCCATCATCCTCGTCCTCTACGGCCTCATCAACGTCATGGCCGTCCAGTGGTACGGCGAGACCGAGTTCTGGGCCGCCCTCGGCAAGTTCCTCCTCATCGTCGGCCTCATCATCTTCACCTTCATCGTCATGCTCGGCGGCAACCCCCTCGGCGACCGCTTCGGCTTCCGCTACTGGAACGACCCGGGCGCCTTCGCAGAGCTCTACTACTCCGGCAGCCTCGGCCGCTTCCTCGGCTTCCTGCAGTGCCTCATCCAGGCCTCCTTCACCATCGCCGGGCCCGACTACGTCGCCATGGCCGCCGGCGAGGCCGAGAACCCCCGCAAGGTCATGCCCCGCGCCTTCAACGCCGTCTTCTACCGCCTCACCGCCTTCTTCGTCCTCGGCTCCCTCTGCGTCGGCATCCTCGTGCCCTACAACGACCCCGAGATGACCGCCGCCTTCAAGGACGGCCAGCCCGGCGCCGCCGCCTCGCCCTACGTCGTCGCCATGAACCGCCTCAAGATCGGCGTCCTCCCGCACATTGTCAACGCCATGGTCCTCACGGCGGCCTTCTCCGCGGGCAACTCGTACGTCTACTGCGCCTCGCGCTCGCTGTACGGCCTTGCGCTCGAGGGCAAGGCGCCCGCCCTGTTCAAGAAGTGCACCAAGAAGGGCGTGCCGGTGTACTGCGTCATCGCCGTGCTGCTCATTGGGTTGTTGAGCTTCCTCCAGCTGAGCAACAACACGGCCGTCGTGCTCGACTGGTTCGTGAGTCTGGTGACGGCGTCGCAGCTTATTAACTTCTCGTGCATGTGCACGGCGTACCTGGGCTTCTACCGCGCTCTGAAGGCGCAGGGCATCAGCCGCGACTCGTTGCCGTACAAGGCGTGGTTCCAGCCGTATGCGGCGTGGTATGGGCTGATTGGCACGTTCATCATGACCTTTGTGGGAGGGTACACGGTGTTCCTGCCTCTGGACGGGTACTGGAACATTCCCGACTTTTTGTTTTCGTGAGTGGTGTCACATGCCGTTCAACGGTAAAGATTGCTGACTGGGATACGTAGGTACACCATGGTTGGCGTGTTCCCGGTTCTGTATCTCGGATACAAGTTCGATATCTTGAAGTTCAGGAAGCGCACAAGGATCTTCAAGCCTGAGGAGGTTGACTTGTACCGTAACAAGGACGAGATTGACGAGTACGAGCGGAACTACGTTCAGCAGCCAGCAAGGTAAAGTTTTCGTCCATTTACCGGTGGTCATTACTAACTTGACTTAAAGCAACTTATTCGAAAAGATCCTCGACAAGCTCTTCGGCTAAGGAATGCGGTGCTTTGTGGGGAACGAACATGTCTGGTCGAATTTTGGTACAATATGAGTAGATGGATACCCCGAGGTAGAAAATAATAGAGAGGGGAAATATTGGGAATTGCCTGCATGATGTGTCACTATTCGCGGCAGTATTCTCTGCCACCTCGCTTGACTCAAAATGTCGACTCATGTCACCCATCAATATGGTGATGGAGAGACACTTTCGACGTTTGCTAGAATGCTGGTAGAAGGCTGCTACTAAGCGGCATGTCTACTGTGCAAGCAGGTCTGGTTCTGAGGATTCAGATTAGCGCGACCAAGTCGATTGGGTAGGTTTATTTGACGCCGTCATTGATGCGATATACGGACTAAAAGGGTATGTCAATCACGGTTACGCTTCATGTACGTTCAGCGGGTGATTGAGATTGTTGTCAATCCATATTTGTTCATTCATATATCTTCGTACTACTCATATCCCATTTCGGCAAAGAACGTCCCGCACACTACAGCTTGCTGCCAAAAAGTTAGTTTCGGTTCTGTACTTGGGGTCAATCAACTTGGAATGACTTACTCAAGCGCAATCCCAGCATCGTAGTCACTGGAGGATAGCTTTTGCAGGTAGTCATTAGACCAGACTTTGTCATATCTATGAATGTTAGCAACAACCTGAAGAAAAGGGGCGACGACAGGACTTACTGGTTGCAAATGAAGTATGTATTATACCCATCCGTCTGCTTCTGATTCACACGGGTGAGGAAAACCGACACGCACGCATCTATTCCAAGGTTCAATCATTAGCTTCTGCCGTCACATAAATCGACTGGCGGGCGCGGCTTACTTGTGCACTTTCCTAAACACCATGACAATGGGTCGTCGCCAGTGTAACCATCGCTAGCAGTGTTGGAAGAGGTGGTGTAGTCGAAGCTGTAGTTGACGTCGCCCTCGTACTGCTTCTTCCACGTGCCGGGAACGTTGTATACTGGCTTGGGTGGCAACGCCGGTGCAGAAGGGGCCGCGGTCGGCGCCGCGGTCGGCGCGGCACTGGGAGCCGCGCTGCACGCATCGCCCTCTTGCCTCTTCCCGATCGCGCACGCATTTCCATACGGGCGGACGCCGTTCCAGACCACCGGCGTACCACCCTCGGCGCGAACCCACGCAAGCCCCGCCACAAGCTCCTTGACGTTGGCGGCAACCTTGCCTTCTACCTGCAGCTGGGTCTTGTACTCGGCCTGCGCCATGAGTCCGGCAGCAACGCCGGCGACGGTGGCCGCCGCGACGCCGTCGGAGTAGTACAGCCTCGAGATGTCCTGCGACTTCGTCACGCCCCCCTTGCTCTTGGGGTCGAGGTTCTTGTAGGCGCACCTGCCCGTGACGGGCGCAGCTGCGGTGACGCCATCCTTCTCGGAGCCAGGTGACCAGTTCATGCGGGCGCCCTTGCCGTTGACTCCGCTCACCGCGATGAGGGCTGTGTCTTTGGCGAAGGCGGCGGGGTATTGGTCGTTTGCCTCGGAACCGTTGTTGTTGTTGGAGATACCAGTTGGCGCGACGAGGACGATGTCGTCGTCCATCATCTTGACCAGGATCTCCTTGTATGCAGCGATGGCTTCTGGGTCGGACATTGGTGCTGCGTGGCGTTAGCAATCGCAAAAAGACGGTTCGATTCTTTTACAGACGGTCGGGTTCACTTACTGGTGTACGAGAGGTTCACCACAGCCTTGCCCTTGAGCTTTTTCGTGGTGATGTCGTTCTTGACCATGGCCAGCGCAGTGAGCATCTCCGTCATGGTGATCATACCCATCGCACCGCTCCCTCCGGACAACTTGACCATAACGACGTTGGCCTTCTTCGCCACGCCGTACTTGGGACCAAAGATCTTGGACGCCATGCAAGTGCCATCGGGGTATCCAATGAGCGGATCATCGTCCGTCTTCGTTTCAGCTGATCCGGGGGCGAAGATGAAGTCCTTGGTGCCAACAGCGTCTTGGATATCCTGTGGGCCCGCCAGTTAGCGCCGATGAAGATAACATAAATGGGGTTGAGAGCTTACCGGCGAATTCAGGTTCATGCCCGTGCCAAGGATGTAGACGGTGACGCCTTGTCCAGCCACCTCGTCATATGCAAAAGTGGATGCTCTTCCCGTGCCAGGTTCCTGGGAAATGGTGGCAAGTTCTCCTGCGTCTTCGTGTGAGGGTTTCGCTGGGTTCTCCGTCTCGACATCGTATCCCTGCTGCCTCACAATCTTCTGCGGCTGCTTGGCCAGAGCCAAGGGGTCTTTCGTCAAAGCCGGGGGTAGCACAGAAGGGCCCGCGGCGTCGGCTGGGTTGTAGGGCTCTTCTGCCACCATCTTATTCATATCCCCCAGGTCGATATCTTCAGTAACGGCTCCGACCTATTCTCTCGCGTTAGCATGTTGGCGGTGCAACCGGGCAGGACACAAAATACCCCTGGCTTCGTTTCCAAGTCCTTCGCTTCTTGGGGTGAAAGCGGAGCGGTCAGGAACAGCGTGCTCTTGTCTTCGTCGTCTTCGACAGTTACCAGGCTCGAGCCAGCCGAATTAGTCAAGCTGGACTCTACTGAGTCGAAATCGGTTGCCTTCCCTTTGCTATCGGGTACGATGATATACTTGGGTGTTCCGCTGGAGGTCGCTGACGCTTGCGACGTGGTGAAGGTAGAGGAGAACGGGAATGACGATGTGCCGGTGGGCAAGTCCAGCGGCAGCGAGGTGCTGAACGGCTGGTCGGTTCTTTGAACAGACGGAGTGGGCTGGTTCTGGTCGCCATTGTCCTCGGGCGGGTCCTCGGGCTTGTCGACCTGCTGCGGTTCCGGGCCCGAAAGTGAACTCAGTCCGGAGGCGATGCCGGATGCGCCGGTGACCGTCGCAACACTTCCGGCGGCCATGCTGAAGTATTGGCCGGCGAGCAACAAGTAACCTCCTCCGACTCCGGCGGCGACAACCGTGCCGATCGCCAAGCCGGTTGCGACTTCTCCATTTGACACGGTCTTCTCCGCGGCGGGTGTGGTGCTTGCGGGAGGCGCAGAGGATGCCGTCTGCGACGCCGGGGGCCGGCTTGAGAGTGGGGCCGATGAAGTGTGGCTTCCGGACGCCGACGGGGTGTGGCTTGCCGAGTATAGCGACGAGCTGGCTTTGCGTGATGTTGCTGGTGGTGGCACAGGTACAGGCACCTGTGTGTTGTTCGTAGATGTGCCATTGCCGTCTGCCCTGGGGAAAATCAAGCCATTCCGGACGTGGTGTCTATGCACAGGCGAATGATCGTGGGGCCGAGCGAAAATTCCTTCGCTGGCAGAAAGGAGCGACAGTAAAATGAATGTAGCGTGGTTACGCATCGTGACGAACCACCAAAGAAAGGAATAAAAGAATGTATGTGCCGAAAAGGAATGGGCGGTTGAGAATCAGTGCTCGAGAGTGCGAGCTGCTCCCTCAGTATTAATCATGTCTTGGTTTGCGTGCAATTCTAATTATTCTCATATTATCGGGAGCTTCGGCTCGATGCACGTAAATAAGTCAGGTGCATAAGGTTAAAGAGGTTTATTTCCCTATACACGGCATGCTATCGGGCAGTGCGATGATCGTCATTGATTGCGGTGTAGCGAAGAAGGAGCTTGTCACTGGATTCGCTGTGGCATTTAGGGCTCTGCTCTGTCTACCAAGAACGGCTGCGCTGTAAACCTTAAAAGCGGTAATCAGCGAGATTGTGTCAAGTGGTTTAGCATATATTTGATGTCCTAATTTTGGTAGTAATATTGGAGCAACTATGACTCTGATTCCCGTTATTGCAACCACGCGACCCACAAAAAAGCATCGTGCCTTTGGGCAGAAACATGGCCTTGCCGTAGAGCTGAATCGCGTCTTTTCACTTTGGGCAAGCGGTGTAGATGAACACGGGAGAGGTTCAGTGTCTTCCGGGGAATGCGAGATCCCACGCGGGCTTGTCTTCAAAGCGTCGGTTCGTAATTACTCTGTAGAGCTGTCACAACCGCAGCGGAAGCGATGTTGCTTCCTCGGCGGACGGAAAACATCATCGGCCTCCGGCTCCGCTTCAACAGCCCCCAACCAACTAGACCACGCGACTCGCCACCCATGGGTAGGTTTAAGCTGTGGTCTATTCACTACAGCTCGGCGTACTTAACTTGAAGCGATGCCGTTGATTTTGACCTTTATATATTTAGAAATTCCTTCCTCTCAATGCTATTCAGCTGATGGTATTTTCATAACTCAGCCTCGTAGGGCGTGTTTGGTACTTAGTCCGGTAACGAAACCGAGCAGCCATGTCCTGCTGTGCCAACCTCCCGAAGCTCGTTTTCGCCTCTCATTGCGCACTTATGGAAAATGGAAGCTGACAATTCGCTGACTGCGCTTTCGCCGTATTGTGGCTGAGTTTCAGGTCTTAAGGGGACTGGAGTCTCGTTCAGCTCGGTAGGTTCAGGCATCTGCATTCGCAAAGCTAACTGTCTAAATCTTTTTTTTGACTCGATTTCATCTTCACAATTCTGTCCTTCTTTCTTAATCAAAGGTCTAGAACACTTGGCAGGCAGAAGCAGATGGGTGGTATTGAGCCGGGAAAGAGTGGACCTTTGAAGTCGGCATGGAACCCACGTGCTCCCAAGTTGAATTGAATGAGTCGATGCACTTGTAAGAGGCATGATCTCCTAAATTGTTTTGTCATTGCGCTATCGGAACAGCGGCAGGTGCACTGTCTTCCGGCCTTTTTAGCCTATTTCGCACGCTAAAAAGCGGCGAACTCCGATCTTTACAACGAATGGCATTCACTTTTGTTTCTCTTTCTTTTTCTAGTTCCAGTGACGTTGCCACAGACAGACACACAGCACCTGGTGACGTTGAGCTTACAACTCTCAAGTCTGGCACTTGGGGACGTAGACTATGGAAGGTTAGCTACCTAGTTCCCTGCGAATTTTGAGTCTTCTGGCCGGGAAAGAAAGTTAATAATGCAACGGGAATTTCTTGCGATTAAGCAGTAGCAGTCAATTTCT